TCCTTCAACCCAATTGAATTTCTTCTGCTTATTCTTCATGCTAATTTTTCTGTTTTCTGCCCTAACTCATCATTTAGACTAAAAATCGAGTATTTTCCCATCATAGTAAAAATAGCATGTGATTGTATTGTCATTTCTTACACAGTGCTCTAAAATTTTACTATATGCACACATGTATATACAACTTGAGTCCGTTAGCATACAAGGTTCTCAGAATCACGGTATGTTTAGAATTTTACAGTGGGCTTTTCATCCCATTAAGGAAGACATCATAAACCTGTGAAGGTGCTACACAGACCGACAGTGAAAACAGCAAGGAACCATCTATCCTGGCCACTCAGCCTTCTCCTCAGGGTCAGAGCAGGGATGGAGGCAATGCTACTCCAGGCTTCACATAAAACTCATTCCAGGCAGACACTCAGGAGTGTGTAGTGAAAAGTGCATTTGACCTAGGCCATGTCTGGGCTTAAATCTGACTGGCTGTGTGACTATGAGTAAATCTCCAGTCCACTTTGACCTTCTGTTGTCTCTTCCAAGTTCCTGCAGTGCCTGTCACAAAGGAAGTGGGCTGTAAAGACAACAGTATCTGTTACAAGCACAGCTCTGTAAAAATATTAGACCCGATAGAACTGTTGTATTTCACGGGCTGTGAATGCAGCTTTCAAAGAGCAGGAACGGCTCCTCAGAGCAGCTGCATCTCAGTGGTGTTCCGCTGATGTTCGGCAATTCCTATGCTCTGAAAGCAGTTGGCTGTTGTTCAAATTTCCAAATGGAGAAAAGGAAGATTTGGTTATGTTCAATGTCCATACCTAGACTTTGGACAAAATTCCAGGTAGTTACTGCTGAGAGAGCTTTTGATTTTCAAACCCAAGCAGCACTATATGGTTATTCCGTGTACATGGGGCTCACGGCTTGTCTGTGAGTCTCACTCAGAGCCCTCCATACAGTGCCAGCAAACTAGAAGCGTGGTTGGTGTGCCTGCAAGGCTCTTCAAAGCACCAGAGCCAAGGTGCTCAGGAAAGATCTAGCCAAATGTGGCTTTCTCTTTCCAAGTGATGTTTCCAAATAAAGAAGCTGCACTTACAGATGACAGGCAAGACACATTTTTATTTTCTGCTTGGGGACTGGCCTCCTCCTAGAATAAGAGTTAACCAGAGGTCTGGAGGAAGCTAGTGAGCACTCTTCTGTCCTCTCTGTTTGTTGGCTGATCAGTGTCCATGTCCATATTACCAGTGTCCTATCTGTCAAATTTCACAATACCAGGCTAATCACTTCACCTTGATTATGTGGGTTTTACACACACACACACACACACACACACACACACACACACACACACGAACTTCATTGTCTGCTAATTACTAAGATTCAAACATGTATCAGCCTGAATTTGTTTACAGATTGAGCTCATTGCTACTAAAGACAATAGATTGAATTTTAATCATAAATATCTCTATGAACAAATATTTGTTCCTTATTGATACTTCCCTTCCTCCCAATTTTAACAGCTTTAATTAGCAAAATGTAAACATTATATCTACAGAACAAAAGGGAAAAATGTCCAGACAGTGATCATAAGCTAAGAAAGTATCAGATCAATGTATGAAGTATGTGTGGGTTTATGCACATATGTATATAAATCATATGTGTGTCTATACATAAAGTACATTGAATGTATGTCTACAGTGTATATATGTGCTCACTCACTTGTACTTATGTGGGCATTCTTTCTAGTATACACACACACACACACACACACACACACACACACACACACCTGACTGAGCAAAGGTACCAGTATGGGCAAAATAGAAGAATTATTACTGATATATTAAAAAAAAATCCTCGATTTCTGAAACTTTAACTCTTCTACAGGTCAATACTAATTTTCACTTGACTGTGCACTGGTAGATAACTCTTCATGGGCTTCCTTCATAATCTGCACTAAAACCACATAAAATTATTGTCTATTTGCTGTGGTCTATTTTTGTACCTCTCTAATTTTTATAATAGAACAAGTGAGGTGTACTTTTTTCTAAATACAGAAGGTACAGTCTTAATGAAGTCAGGCTGCTTCTGTACTGTGTGATGGAGTGACAGCGATGGAGCTGCCAGGCGTATTCTGCCAAAGAAACACACATAGGGAGGTATAGGCGACAACTGGTATAAAAGCCGTAAGGACTCCCTATATCTCCTTAATGCGGTATTAAATCCATTTTAATTGTGTGCACACACCCACAGACCTCCAAGGGTTAACTGCACACAATGTAATGAATTCAATAATGATGAGTTAAAAAAGGTCTAATTAGCCAGTAACCACTTTATTATGAAAGAAAATGGTAATGAATTTAATAGCTCAAAATCATTAACAATATTTAGTTTGCTGGTACTTGTTCTCTATTATCCTCATTAATATGAACATTTAATATGTTTTAAAATGGATTTGTAATACTTTCTGTGCCACGAGGTTACACTGACAGAAAGAGTGTAATTATTCTGCTAATTGTTATCACTGTATGTTTGTGCTCCGAATAGAAGTATATTTAGGTGTTAATACCAAAAAAAAGTAATTAAGAAAGGAAAGATTTAAAACCTAATTAAACAAAAACTAAAAAAAAAAAAATCTCAGTCCACCATATGAAAAGAATTTCTGAAGTAATTGCTTTGGAAACTTTTCTTTTTCCTCTCTTCTTGTTAATTCATTTACCTATTGTTGCAGGTTTCTTGAAGGAGAAAATAAAGTTATCTATTATGAAAAGTGAGGTAAAAAGAAACAGGAGATTCCAAGTTTATAAGGTGAAGCTTTTTTCTTTACAATGCTCAGAACTGTGATGAAATACAAGCCTCAGAGTCACAAGTCCCCTCTGATGGTGGAAAACCAGCATGTCACAATTGGGCAATAGATGGCTTACTCTCTCATCTCTGTCTGTTCTGCCTCCTGAGAGTCCTGGCACAAACCCTGCTTCATTTCTGCTGAGTGCCATTTTCTTCTGAAACACCATATAGCTTCTGCTCTTATCACCTTTTAGTCACTAGAGCCACTAATAATTAATAATTAAATAATAATTAAAAAATTCTACCCACAAATCCTTACAGGTATTTGTGGACTGGGCATGATTCGGTATTGTCAGAGTTGAAATTGGAAATTGGCAAAATAACAAGTAACGTTCCCTAACAAGGACTCTGCAGTCTCTTGTCAAGTGACCAGTCCAAGATGCCACTAACAGTGGCACATGCTTTTTGCTAGAAAATAGAGGCTTGATAGACTCCTGTCATGATGTTCCCTTAAGTTATAACCTATTTAATTCAGCACAACCTTGCAAGTTCTGCCATGAGACTAATGTGAAGCATTATATTTCTCTGCAGATACACACGATCCTGATCAGTATGTCATTCATCCTTCTGGTCAGTGGTCATTGAGTTTTACTGGATTATCCTCTGAAAACTGCTCCATTGTGGCAGTAGTCTTCAGCTTGACTTTTATGTTGAGGAGAGAGACCTTGTCCCAGTGGTGCCTGCCTAGTGATGAATATGCTAGAGGCCAAATTAATTTCTACTTAGACTGATAAGTAGTGTAGTGTCTTGGTTCCTTTCAAGTCTCCTTAGCTTGATATTATTTCATGTTTATTCTGTACCCTACATAAAGACATCACTAGCAACATGACACCCCTGAATTGCCAATATTTCCCTGGCTATATGTTTCAAAGTCTTACATATAGTAGATCGATGGTTGATGCATTTGGGCCTATAAAGGTAAGTTATAGCAAGAACAAACTCACACGAATCATGTCATTTCAGAATAAACAGTAGAATTTAGAGAAGCATTCTTAATAAAATGCTGGACTACAAACAGAATTGATATCTGTAGATTGCTTGGAAAAGGATCTCCCACCTCCATGGTTTTACTCACATTTCTCTTTGTTGACAGAAACTTCAAGTGTTTTTTACCAAACTCAACCCCATTTGGAAGACTAAGGACTGTATTCATTTGGGGATTCAATCCTCAGTCCAAGTTGTCACAAAGAAAATCTTTCCTAATTTCTGCAAGTGATGACGCAGGTTATCTAGAACTTTCGGGACCACTGCATACTCTCAAGTATCTCAGTTCTTAACAATGGGGCTAAGCACAAGCTGCAGCATTGTTCCTACACTTTAAAGGTGGTTTACTTTAGTACTTCAGTACAGATCATCATTTCAGAAAATTCTCCTCTTTTATTGAAAGTAGATTCTTTTCATACAATATATTCTGATTATGATTTCCCCTCCCTCTACTCCCTCAGTTCCTCCCCCTTCCCCTTCCATCTTGATCCAGCCTCATCCTGCTTCTTTTTTAAAAACAAACAGGATGCTCAGCAGTGGTGGAACACACCTTTAATCTCAGAACTCTGGAGGCAGAGGCAGGCAGATCTCTGAGTTTGAGGTCAGCCTGGTCTACAGAGCGAGTTCCAGGACAGCTAGGGCTACACAGAGAAACCCTGTCTTAAGACCCAAAAGAGTAAAATTAAATTAAATTAAAGTAAAAATAAGAATGAAAAGACATCTAAGGGATAATTATAAAACAAAACAAAACAAATGAGAATAGGCAAGACAGACAGAAGAAAGCCTAAGGTACAAGAAACAGATATAGATATAGAGAATCACTTGCTTGCACAATCAGGAACCCCAGAAAAACACAAAAGCAGACAGATAAAGGCCCTATAAGGAAAAAATATTAAAGTTAAAATTTAAATTAAATTGAGAGAGAGGGAGGGGAGGGGGAGAGATTGATAGATGATATAGATAGATAGGTAGATAGACAGATAAATAGATAGGTAGATAGATAGATGATAGAGAGCCACAACATTATGAGACAAGGAATCTTCAAAGATGAAATTGAGTTCATTTTCTGTTGGCCATCTACTTCTGGGCATGCTGCCTACCCTTATGAGTAGTTTGTTTCCCTAACTGAGGTTCCTTTTGCCTTATTCCCTAATTGTATTTTATTTCCTCCCCTCATCCAGATAAAATGCATTGCCTGTTCTTACTGCTCCACTCTATTCCACCATCCACTGTTTTTTGTTCTCTTGGACGTGACAACGTCAAGAGCACAGCAGCACCAATGAGACTTGGCTTTTCATCAGTTCTGCTCTCTGTCACCCAAGGTATGCACCATCATTCTTTAGTTTAAGTAGCAGGTTTGTCCAATACAGAGAATTTGGTTTATTAATGAGATGATAATCTATACCTCAGTCATCAATTACTCTGAAGCCAGACCCTGATCTGGAATGCTCCCATACAACACCTACACAGAGACATGAAAGAGCAACCATCTCCAAGATGGTAGGAGACATTTAAAAGAGATTATCTTATTTTCTCTGAGAAAAAATATTTCCAGATTATGTGCTGCCTTAAGGAAAACAGGTTTATGTATTCAAGCCACAAAATTATGAATGTCCATAGCTAGCTTGAATGTGCACTGATAAATAACACACCACAGCCTATGACTGCAGTAACAAAAGGAAAACAGTCCTGTAAGTAGTGTTGGTCTTGTTCTGTGCAGTTTGGTTTTTGAAAAGAGCATGATAATTAGATGTACTTCTGCCAATACACTGTTCACTTTGACTCTATGCATTGTAGCTATTGTGTGTGTATGATGGGCTTTATCCCTATCCAAATAGAACTAGTAGGTATGCTGTTTTCCTCTGATCTTATTTCTGTATTACATCTTGAACATAGTTTATGACTATAAGAGTTTCATTTTCATTTTAAATGACTGAATAATTATATCAGACTTATATAGTCGCCATAATCCTCTTTCTTTCTTTCTTTCTTTCTTTCTTTCTTTCTTTCTTTCTTTCTTTCTTTCTTTCTTTCTTTCTTTCTTCCTTCCTTCCTTCCTTCCTTCCTTCCTTTCTTTCTTTTTTTCCTTCCTTCCTTCCTCCCTCCTTCCCTCCCTCTTTTCTTTCCTTTCCTTTTCTTTTCTTTTCTCTCTTTCTTTCTTTTTTAATTACTGGCATTGGGATTTTCTCTTTGCCCTCATCTGGAATTTGGCATTTTTGTATATTTGTGTCATTTTTTTCCTTAGTAGAAGAGTCTTCATCTTAAACATTGCCAGAAACATGCTATTTTTGAGTGCTAAAGTGCATTGTAAAATGGCCACCCAGAAGTTTTACACCCACATGGAATTCCATGGGCATTGCAATGAGAGTGCTACCGTCCATTCTAGACAGAACTCATAGCTTCTTTCAGGAGCAGACAAAATCTATTGTTGAGACTGTTACTGTGTTTCACTTTATACTCTTAAGGCTGTGTCTTAGTCAGTGCTTCTATTGCTGTGATAAAACAGGGACCAAAGGCAGCTTGGGTAGGAGAGAGTTTATTTCAGTTCACAGCTCTCAGGCCACACTCCATCAGTGAGGGAAGTCAGGGCAGGAACTCAAGGCAGGAACCTGGAGGCAGGAACTGAAGCAGAGGCCATGGAGGGGTACTGCCTACTGGCTTATTTCCTCTAACTTGTTCAGCCTGCTTTCTTAGAGAACTCATTCCAACCAGCCCAGAAATGGCACTACCCACACTGAACTGGTCCCTTCCCCAGCAAACATCAATCAATAAAATGTACCACAAGCTTGCCCATAGGCCAGTCTAGTTGGGACATTTTCTCAAATGAGGTTGTCTCTTCCAAAATGACTCAACCTCGTGTCAAGTTGGCATAAAATCAGTAAGCATAGGTTAGAGTGCTTAAGCTGCCCTTGTCTTTCCCAGTTTTTCTTTTTTTTGTATAAACAATTTTAAAATCATATTTTTAAGTGCTATTTTCCTTGATATGAGGATTTTCTTTAATTTTTTTGTCTGGTATTTATTTTGTCTGAAATTGTCTGCATTTCTACACTGACTTCTTTTCTTAAATCATGCAACTAGTATTTCTTACAAATAATTACACTGAGCATATCTTCTTTACTTTTGACTTTCCTGATCTGCCTTGATTTATCAGTCATAAATGACTAGTCTAGTCTATAGTCAATTTGTTTTAAAAATTAAATTTGATAGCCTTTTTCTCAATAAGCTGGATTCATCCCTGTGAAATGATTATTGTAAAGGGATACATATTAACATCTCTGCAGTCTTATTCTGTCTTTCTCTTTATAATTTTATTTTCTTCATTTCTCTTTTTTTAATTTTTATAATTAATTTAATTTTACATATCAGCCACGGATTCCCCTGTCCTCCCTCCTCCCGCCCCCCCCCCCCCCCCAATCCACCCCCATTCCCATCTCCTCCAGGGCAAGGTCTCCCCTGGGGATTCAGCTCAGCCTGGTAGATTCAGTCAAGACAGGTCCAGTACCCTCCTCTCTTCACCCAGGCTGAGCAAAGTGTCCCAGCATAGGCCCCAGGCTCCAAAAAGCCAACCATACTTGGTCTAAGAAGGGCTCATTATTTCTCCTGCCTATATTTTGAGGTTTGTATATTCTATTACTACTATTTTAATAACTATGATTTCATTTAAATCTGATTATTTCATTTAAAATTGGTGAATGTTAACTTGTTTGACTATAATTTTTCTAAACAATAGGTAAGCAAGTTCAGAACAGTTCCAGTTTTTATTCCTGTCACCAAATCTTCCGTATTATTTATCAACACTTAATTACTCACTGTGCTTATAGGTCATCAGTGGGGTCATTATTATCTTCAGTATATTTGAAGCAAGGAACTCTAAAATGCACAATTTTATATTAGCTAAAATAAGGATGCGTCTACTTTCTTGCTCATTATGATTTATCTTTCATAGCATTTATCACTGTAACATACACATGTAGTAGAAATAACAAGTCATCTCCCATGCCACTGAATAAGCACAGCAGCAACTGGAAGGGACCATCTTATTCCAGCCTTCTCCCCACTGCTGCCCAGTTCTGAGTCAACCGCACAGCATCCTCCCTGCACTTGGTCCTCGTCTTCCTGAATGACACCTGCACTTCCTCACCTGCTGTCTTCTGACTGTTTAACAGGATTGACTGGCTTTCTCATGTGGGAATTGCTCCTTTCCTACTTCCTTCTCCACACCATGTGCCCGTTTCTAATCATGAAGTTTATTAGTGGTCAATGATGATGTAACGTAATTAAATACTCACTGTATTTACAATCTTAGAGTCTGTTGGGAATTCCATGTAATATTTTTCTATATGAGTTTGAATTACTAAGTCAGATATCATTTCCACTTAATACTTCTAGCTTTGTTTTGCCAGTTTCAATCCATTCCCCATTTTCCCCAACATCTCATTTGCACATTATAGGTATCTTGTATGCCTCCCTAATTTGGACCCTGTGATTGTAAGCATACACAGAGAATTTGATGTGGCCAAGATTTTTGTTGATAACTTGACTAAGAAACAACCAGCAACATCATATCCAATTGCGTTATCCTAACATTTTTTAAATAGGTATATCTTAGAGTGACTGTTCATATGTAAACTTTCGGAACTGTTTTCTCCTCAGATATTCCTTCCCTTCTATTTCTGAAAATCTTGTTACATGTGACCAATTAATATTGTTTCACAATTCCAGATGCTCTTTTGTACTAATTCAATCCTTTTATATAATTCCTACCAGCCTGTAAGATGTCTACTGACTTTTTATCTTACAAGAATTTTTTTTTGTGTTCTCTTCTTTGTCTAGACTTTAGTTAACTTTATCAAATGAACTTTGAATGTCCAATATGCAGCATTTTTATATTTTGAATTTGCATTTGGTTATTTTTATGGTTTATACTTTTCTGATAAAATTCTTCATCTATTTATGTAGTCATGCACCTTTTTGATTGGTTCCCTTCACTTATTCAACATCATTATTTTAAAGTCTGTCTCTGACTACTCCAATCTTGTTATACTGTCTGTTTTAACTCTTTACCAGGAACTCATAAATAAATTTCTTCATGGGTCTCATAAGTATTGATTATACTCCAAATATTTTGTGTAATAGAAATTTGGAGCATAAAATTACTATTTCCCCTGAGATAGACATACCTGTCTTCCTATGATCTGCCTAGAAGAAGCCACATCATTTCATCTTTAGTTAACCTGGATCTGGCTTTCTTACACTCTTACATCTAGTTTCTTGCTGGCTTCCTGTAATTTGAGAACATATAAAATTTATCTACCTTAACCAAGCTTTGCATTCAGGTAGGTAAATTCCAGGGATCTGTTTGTGTTTTACAGCTGAGCTTCCAGCTTTTCATTCCCTGGAAGTTTTCTCATTTGCTTTTGGATTTTTCTCTTCTTTCTGTTCTGTCTATTCCATCAGATTGTGCCTCAAGAGGCCAATTTTTGACCTGCTTGTCTTTGATCAACCTCCAGAAAGCTAATCCCGGGAAATCTGTGAGAACCTCAGGCACCCTGAGATGTCTCACTGCTTCCAGTTATCTCATTAATTCAGCAGTATTTTCGATGACTCAGTAAGAGGGTGTCTGGCCATGTATCTCTTCCACAGGTGATAGTTTTCGATAATAAAATGGCTCATGCATGCAACTGGGAATTTATCTTCTCAGTCTTACACTGCCCAAGAATGGATATGCCATCCACTTTTTATACTGAGAAAGTCTGGGAGAACAAGTCCATGTTGGTTAATTTTAATATTAATGTGACTATAACACAAGGTACACAGATATTTTGTTGACAGTATTCTGGTGTGTCTGTGGGTATCTTTCTGGTTTGTATTAGTAGACTAAGCAAAGCCAATGACCTTTTAAAAATATAGATAGGTCCCCATCCAACCTATTTGAAGGCTTAATAGAACCAAGAGTAATTTAAAAGATAATTCTTTGTCATGACAACTATGATGCTGGTCTTCTCATGTCCTCAAATATGGGCTTACTATTAAAAGCCTGATTTTCAGGCCTTTAGTTTCAGCTGGAAACTACAACAATTGGGCTTTTTGGGTCTCCAACCAATACCAAGTAGATTGTAGGGCTTGTTTACTTCCATAATAACATGAATGAATTCTTATCACAAATAAATCTCATTATGTTTGTGTATGCATGCGTGTGCCCATATGCATGTGTCCTGTTTGCCCTGTTTCTCTGGAGAACCTGAACTAACACAAAGTTTATATTAACAGATAGATATGGACTTACTCTTCAAACTGGATTCTCAGTACTCTAACTGAATTC